CGTTTTTAGGCGTAAAAGACTTTTGTATGAACTGTTACACGTAAACTGAGACATTTTTGTTTTACATGTAAAACGGTCATCTAACGGACAACTAGCCTTCGATTTTGTGTTGGTTTACCCGTGTTTATTCATAAGTTTGTCGTAAATGAGCTTATTTTACGAAACTTATCCTAAGTTTTTACGAAAATTTTGCCCATGGGTAGAAGAAGGGAAAAAGACGTGGATATCCACAGAAGGCGACTCTTGCATTGAGTCATTCGCGTTGTGAAAATAGTGATTTATACCTATTATTTCTATATTTTGAATAAATATATGTTTAAAAATCAAAAAAGGTATTGATGCTCACAATGAAAGTGAAAGACTTCTCAATCCTCTGAGAAACCGTGCAGAAAAAACTCCTCATCCATGAATATACTTGAATTTAATTAATCAGACTAGTATAGGATTGTCAGATGTACAAGTACTTTTTTTTTTCTTCAAAAGCAAATATTATACATACCTACGTGACATTTTATAAGCACATACAATATGAAATAATGGTTCACTACTTATTATGGTTGCCGAAATTCATGAAAACAAAGGGAATAGATATCCTTCAAAAGGAATATTTTAGATTACTTGTGAGAAATGTCGAGATATTTCTAAAGCAAAATAAACACGCTTCATCTTATTGAATGTTGGAAACGAATTTTCGGTTTTTTATTTTATTCTTTATTTTTTATTGCATTTAAGAAGATAAAAATTTCTCAAAAGTTTTTTCCCTTTTTAACACGATCCTCCATAGATAAAATACTTTGTAATGCTGACTAAAATAGATACACTCATTTTAATTATTTTGAAGAGCACATTACTTCTAACTTTATAAATAAATGTCTTACTGAACCACGTCTCATTTTGAAGAGGATATGTTGGTTTACCTGGGAATGCAGTTTGTCAAACAAATTGACTCGATCTAGCAAAAATGTAAGATATTCTAGAAAACTGTCGATTTTTGGATGACCTAGTTTTCGTCTCAAGTCATTCCGAACTCTGGAGATGTGTCCAGGTGTTCGGAAATGAATTTTTGTCCATAGTTTGTTAAAACTATGTGTTGTATTTGTTCTTAGTTGTTAGAGGAAGGGTATGTGATGACGATCATGAAGTACATTCACACTACAGTTATGAATAAATACTTATTTTTTTCCTTTCAAAAAACTTGGTATTCGTAACGAAGAGCAATAGTGAGAATAAAAACTAACACTGAAGTTAGAATAGTGAAAAGAAGAGCAATCTTGACTGCTTGAATTCATCGGGACATTCTTTATGCATCAGCTTAGACTGACTGCAAGACTAGCGTTAGAGCCGTACTGGTTACAACTTTTTGACAACCTATAACCTAACCTATAAAAATTTTCACAACCTAAACCTAACCTAACCTACGAAACTCGTAACCCAAAGGGCTCTAACTAGTGTGTCACTTCACATTCTCTCAGACGTGAGCAAATCTGAACATAGTTACGAGCATCATGTCTTTTTCATTCCGGACATCCTGCAGTTTTCATTACGACTTCTCTGTCTTTGTCATTACAAACTTCCGGACGTTCCTATTTCGACCTCCAGTCAAAATGTCGCTGTTCAACCATTAACAAGCGATTGTCAGAGTTCGTTACGAACTCCTGGATAAATTTCATTCCGAACATCCTGTTGTGTGTTATATCTCATTGATTTTTGTCATTACGAACTTCACCCTGACTTTTTTTCTTATGTCCATAGATCGCAACGGACTACTTCATCGGAGTTCGTAATGAAAAATTACGACAAAAACTAATTTTCCTCGATTTTTAAGGGTTTTAGAAAATATCTAATAAGACACATATAGTGGCTCAAAAAATTGTTCATCCATGTTATTTTTCGATTTTTCTCGTCGATCATAATAGTTGAACAAATCTGAAAAATGAACTGAGTATCTGAAAGAGTTTCCAACCTATTATGCTGCGTATAAAGATTTTATCAGAATTGCTTGTAACTAAAGTCTCCACAAAACCGAGTTTCCAAGTTCGGCTGGGAAATGTTTTACAAACAACCTCATCGTATAGAGCAAACATTTCTAAACAAATGAGAGGTCTCTGAGCCCTTCAGAACATTTTTTCACCAAAGCGCGTTCAATTCAATGTCAGAAGACCCAAAATCACGCACAGCCCGCATAACCTTCTGTTAATTTTACTTGTTTTGACCGTTTGAGGCATTTTATTTCGCAGTGAAGAGTCGCTTAAAGAGTCAAGATTATGCAGCCATATTTTTATTAAAAAGTGAAAAGTACAGTTATAAAACTACTCTGATTTACAGCGAAAAAAATTAATGTAAACTCTCCAAAAACGAGCAGAAAAACATAAATTGTCTAAAATTAAAAATTAGTCTTTTTTTGTTATATAAAAATCTTTCCACATTTGTTGTAATAAATCACCAACAAATACTGAATTCATATTTTTATGAATAATTCTTAAAAATAAAATACCATCACCACCCAAATATTCTTCACAAAATTCATTAAACACCCATATTTCTTTTGATGTCATTTTTGTTTGTACCGTTTCCATACGACGTAAATGTTGTTTAATAAATGAACGTCGACTATAATACGACATACCGATTAAAAATTGAATGATACCAATTACTGTAATGATACCAATTAATATTAACCAACACCAATAGAAAGCAAATATACGTTCGTTATATAAATTAACTGGCAATGTACATTGGGTCTAAAAGTTATAAATCAATTACTAGTAAGATGTTTTCAACAATTCATTAAAATTCATTCTTACAGTATGATTGATATTATTGTCACCCAATGCTCGAAACGTATAATCACAAAATCCATATCTTGGAAATCGTACAGTTGATTCCCAATCACCGCCTTTTACAAGTCCTTGAAAAATTCTTTTACCATATTCAATGAAATTAACTTCAAGAAATAGATGCATTAAATAGAGTTGACCACAAGCATTTATAAGATAAAGTATTTTAACAAGAAAATAAGCAGCTGTTAAAGGACCACCACCAATAAAAAATAGACTAATTTTAATGATTAGTCGATTTAGTTTTAAAATACAATTTTTATCTGCCTTTAATATACTTAATGAACGACTATAATGTTGAGATATTGCTTTCAATGTTTTATCATAATCATCCGATGCAATTGTATGTTTTTTATTAACAAGAAAATTGGACAATGCTGGAATGTCTACAGTGGCTTTATGTCCAATACTTTCCCATATTAATGAGGGTAAATATGTGAGTAAACATGCTCCAACTAAAATAAATGGTACCTAAACAGAAAATTAACATTCAGAATGACTATAGAATTTTGTATTCAAAGATCCTCGAAGTAATCTCTTCTCTTTTTCTACGTGCAATGAAGATTTAGTTGAGCCAAAATTTCTACTAGAGAAAGAACATCAGAGAAGAAAGTCGATGTATTTATAAGGTTTCAAAAATCAAAAATTTCGATTTTTATCTAGGATTTTCATTATTTATATATGTTGAGACAGACAAATTAGAAATGAAAAAAAAAACGTCAAACTTTTCGGGGTGATGGAAGTTATCCTTTAAGCAATATATTCACCCATATATAATAGTTCGTATAATATTGTTTTTTCTCTGTTGGTGTCAACGTTTGATGTTCATCTATTCGATAGACTGCTGTAATCCAACAATAGTTCTGAGCATAGGTCGAATGTTCACCTTCGAAATAAGTTGGTGTAAGACATTTGATTGGATCACCTAAAATATGAGAACAAATGATAATTAAAAACAAATAATATACTTCTTTTGCTATTTAGTGAAATATTACCAACAAATTGTTTTGCTGATACAGCTATAATACAAACAGCTAATAAGAGTATTGTCCATCGTCGACTAAAACGATCGTAGGCATCATCATCTTCACAATTCTTATTTCCAACTTTACTATAGGCTTCTGTGATAGTATACAACATTATCTACAATAAAATAAATTCATTCATTACAAATAGAGACGTTAATTGAACTATCAAATGAAATAGTGAGGTAATGAAGTACAGAACTGCTATAAACATGATTAACTAATCATAACGGATTTATTTCATTGATATTTCGTCAGAATCCACAGTGGATTCTGACGAAATATCAATGAAATAAATCCGTTATGATTAGTTAATCATGTTTATAGCAGTTCTGTACTTCATTATCTCACTATTTAAATCATTAACTGCTCTTTCTCCTAACTTTATCAAATGAAATATTTTATATTTTCAAGAAATTCGAGTTTTAGTTTAAGATTTAGTATATAAAATTTTTTGAGAAATAACTAGAGTGAAACAAGTAATTCTAAAAGAAACAAGATGTTTTTCTACTATATTTTGTTTATATCTTTAGAAAATTATGTACTGTTGCATTGAAATCGAACGATAACTTACTTGTCTTGAATATTTATTGTTTAATTGAAAAAAAACGTGTTGATAACAGACAGTTCACACAAAATGATACATACAAGCTTACACTTTTCTTCTTTGTTTCATTCCACTTCCATTCTTATTATATGAATAAATATAACAATATACAAGGGAAGGAATAATGATCTTATTTTAAAAATGAAAAATATATGGAATAACTGATAAGGGCTGATGAATAAATTTATAACTATGCATGTAGGAAGAACAGAGAAATATGTTACTGTAAATAAACACGGTGGTCAGAATAATCACGCTTCTAATAGCAATAATAAATTTTTTGGTATAAAAATACTTGTTTCATGCGGATCTATTATTGTATGAAGAAAACATTTATGAAAATTTAGAGGCTTACTAAGAAAAAATGTAGTCGCTTATACTGAACAATGTTGTTTGCTTCTTCCACTGAAGGAAATAAAACGTGGTAGTTTCCAAAATTGTTCATCAACCTTCACTTTTGATTTTTTTTCTTACTAGTGACACTTCAAAGTAATCCAAAAAGAGATCCGGATTACTGGAAGAGTTTTCATTTATAAAGTATCTAAATGAAAATTTCATCAAAATCGATAAATTCTGTGTCTTCAAAAATATTCAAACCCTAGAAAACTAAGTTCCTGATTTTGAGATAGAGGTTTTTGCGGACAACTTAGTCTAATGTACTCAATATTTCTAGAAATTAAGATATTTTTGAGTTCTCAGCAACGCTTTCGCATCAAACTGCATTCAGTTTAAAAAAGTTTTTCAACTGTCAAAAGCCAGCAAAATCGACAAACAAAAATAGTAAACAGTGCTTTTGGTTCTTATCGTAATGTTTTCTCTATTTGACTAATGAGGAAGCGACCCAGGCTGGTATAGTCAGAAATTAGATCTAGAAAAAAAGGTTTTTGATTGGAGATCTGGTTTTCTAGGAACAGGTGCCTATAGCCGCATTATGATGATTATCATTCTGATATTCGAAATTAGCATTAATAATCAATAAAGCTCGAGAACACTTCGGGACGATCCCTCTTAGGTTGTTTACAAAAATGTTTACCTTGAATTTTTTAGGGTCTAGATATTTTTAAAGATCAAGCGTCTAGCCATTTTGACGATTTTTCTATATTGACACCTTATGATAGGAAACTCTTTCAGATACTCAAATCTCTTTTTTGAACTCATGTTGATTGTTAAACAATTCCAGGATTAATCATATAATGAACAACTAGTAGATCAATGTATATTTACACATTGTGTGATCCTGCTCTTTTATTATTCATTGATTAGTTTTTAATTAATTGTAATGCACAAAAGCAGCAAACCGAATGCTACATGAAGACATGTCATAAGTAAACATACACTCGTTGTTCTCCTAGATGACAGAAATGTCGATTTTTCAAGATTATCAAATGTTATTCGGATTCATCGACATTTTTGAATCAGTTTGACATTCATATTTTTCAAAAACGTGCCAGGTATTCGATAAAGATTTCTTGAAAGATTGAGTTTTGCATTTTCTATCATATAAAAAGAATACACTTTATTTTATACTAGTTTTGTCTTTTTCATAATTTTTTTATTTATCCTGTGTCACTTCGTGATCTTTCTTTTCAGATAATTTTCAAAGTTTACAAAGCCTGCCACTAGAGTGCTGATTAAAGTACCTGAAAAGTACGCCAGCTTTAGAAATACTTTTAGATTACAAAGAAGTTAAGTTCGAGAGTAAAGTAAGCAATTTGAAAAATTTTTGATGTTTATTTATATAAGTTGGATCAAGATTGTTCAGGATTGTTATGAGTCTTCAATTCTAAAATATAGCCTTTTTCGATCTCATCTGGATCTTCATAGTGTAAATCAGAAGTTTTCAACATTGGTGTACACAACTGACTTTAAAAACAAAATTAAAAAGTTCGATTTTCTGCCGTAAGTTCCAGTGGTTGCGGTTCTTTTACAAATTTATGAGTGGGTGAATTGTTCTGTACCGTTTCGAGGTGTTAAAGGCTTATCGTCAGTGCAGACGACTCTTTTTATACGCTTTACCATCTGACCGCAACATAAAGAAATACTACGACCCGTTTCTCATTCCACCAGATTCTGAGAGGAACAGTAGGACAGACATTGATTGCCAATCTCCATCCTCCTTTTTGTTGAACATTTGCCTTTTATCCAACGATCTTGTATATATCGAGTAAAGTACTCTATCTACATATATTTTCTCCCAGAGATAGCAACTTGTAACTAAAAAAAAGGCCATTCTACTTTTTTTTTGCGTATAGAAATGAAAGCTTCGTTTCTTTAATGTCAGTCCTTGTCATTGTAGCTTTTTTCTTTGACAAAGTAAATAGCACATTTACTTTTAAAGTGATATCCTGTTACCTCTTAAATTTATTAAATAGAATCGAATGTAACAAATAAAAACATATATAAATTTTTCAAATAATAAAAATCTTTTCAATTACAGTACAGTTTATATGACTGTCGGAGGTTGTTCGTATGATGGTTCGTTTGGTGATAATGATATCATGATTCATTTTCATGCAAATGATACCACAATAAGACCGATGATTGTTTGTATCATTTTAACTGTAAAAACCAAAAGTACGATGATTTTTATGGATAGTCTAATTACACTATGTGCACAAACCTGGATAACAAGAATCATGTGATTTAATAATTACATATATGTATAAAGGCAGAAAAGAAGAGAGAGGAATAGATGATTGCAAAATATGATAATTCAACGGATCAATGCATAATATTCTTGAGACAAAAATATTTACATACTTCACCAATAATATATCCATCCACTTCAAAATCACGATAATAATTTGTTTTATTTGATTTTTAAACCAATAATAACGATATCCAGTAGAATATACAATAAACTACCAACAGTAAAAAATCTCTTCAAATTCATTGTAATCGATGGCAAAATATGTGTGGATATCATTAGCCGATAAAAATGCATCATAAGAATAGATTTTTGTGAGATACAATGCTTAGTCTCATTAATAAATATATTAAAAAACTTTTTTTTCTAGTGTACTTGACGTATTTGTCTACCGTACGCTTGGACCTCGCTTTTCAAAAATATGGATGTCTTGACTCTTTTCTTTTGACTCGTAAGTGCTAATACGATGGCACAAGTGTTCGCTGATACAAACAAGTTTAGATTTTTACGCATCTGAAAACTTGAATAAAGTAACGTTTGCCTTTTAATTTTAGCATAATAAATGATAATGCGGCAACCTTCACGAGGTCAAATTTTTTTAAACGTTTATCTACTGTTTCTCGTCATGATTAGACAGAATTATGTATCCATCTATGATGCGACAACTCACTAAAAGAAACGACACAAACGGCTATGATTCTGAATTTGATTCATGACATTTTTCCGCTCCCATGAGACTTAGCTTTATTTGTTTTCTTCTTTATCCAAATAAGCCGTAAAATAACTAGAAAATGAGTTTAAAGCCACACATCTCCAAGATGATGAAATTCTAAAAGCTATGACTACGTTCTATAAAGAAATAAAACGATTGTGATTTGCTTAAAACAATAAAGTTCACATGTTTTTATTCATTTTGATTTAATATCACACAGCTACAAATACACTTTTTACATAGAGTATCATCGATAAGAAGAGGAAGAAACATGTAAATACACACACACGTAAATTATAACAAAAATAATTAACAAATTTACAAGAGAAAAACGACTCTCGTGCATTTTATACTCTTATAATCGATCTCTTTACAATTCTCACTTAAACATTTCATACTTGATATTAATTCATTCCAGTTTCTCTTAATAATTAATTACAAATTGTACCATGAAAACGACTACATTTTCTTCTGTATCTTTACTAATATTCTCTAACGTCTTATAATCAGATATTACACGATCACATGGGATAAGTACTGAAACGTTGGAAACTCATGAAATGTTCGCATAGTACTGATATAATTAATTAGTAAAAGAAATTGACATAAATTGTCCAACACGAAATGTTAGTATACAAATTATAAATACATTGAGTTGTAAATTACGAATTGTTAACGACAAATTGTAAAAGATAGATCATTAGAGTACAAAATAAGAAGACGTAATTGATTTTTTTATTTAAAGGCAATCAACTCAATAAACAACATATAAGTTCAAATATTGAATAATTGAAGTTCAATTGAAGCCGACGTTTCGGATCCACGTGGATCAACTATCAAGAGACAAGTACAACATACAAAAAAGACATACAGTATGTATACGCAGAGAATAAGAGAAGAAAAAGGTTATTGAGAATATATTTAGAAAATCTTTGCATAAAAAATATAAGATGTAGAATCATCAGTTTATTTGTTATTTTGATCTGAACTACATAACTCAATATTAGAAGGAGTTGAACAAGATCGAATTTATAAATAGCTGATGTACGGTTGCTGATGGCTTCTTTATAATGCAGCGACAACTTCCGTTAAATCTGGCTTATCATCGGCGTAATGGTCATAGTAGCTCTTTCTTCATGGGATTATCCAGAATTCGAAAACAACGTACTATAATTTGCTATTGTCCAACTCCTTCTAATATTGAATTATATAGTTCGCAGTTTATATTTTTCTTATGCAAAGATTTCTATTGTTCAATAAGCTCTTTCTTCTCTCATTTTCTGCGTATACATACTGTATATCTTTTTTGTATTTTGTACTTGTTTCTTGATAATTGATTCACGTGGATTCGAAACGTCGGTTTCAATTGAACTTCAATTACTCGATGTTGAACTTATATGTTGTTTATTAAACATGAATGATTACCAAAATAATATTGTTTGAAATTCTATTAACAATTGAAGATAGAATAAGATAAAGAAAGGTTAACAACGTTAGACGAAAAGAAAACATTAAAAATCATTATCGTCTTCATCATCGGAGTCTACACGTTTTTTAACTTTTGTTCTTGGATTTGTACGTTTTTTTGTTTTGTGAATAAAATCTTTTTCATCAACTTCAGATGTATCTTGATTATTTTCTTTTTCATCTGAACTTGAACTTGAATATTTTTGTTTACGACGTTGTTGCTGCTTTCGTTGTGGTGTTGATCGAACAGCTCGAGATGGTGTTGTACCTCCTCGACCACCGCGACCACGACCACGTCCAGCTGAAAAAATATTTTCAATTAGATTTTGAAAATTGACTAACCTCCTTTAATCCTACCATTGACTTTTTGTTTTATTTTTTGTGCTTGTTGAACAGCAATCAATATACCATTTGTGGTTCTTGCCTGTTCAATTTTGAGTGAAAGTTCATCTATAACAACCTAAAAGATGGGAATCAAGTTTAAATTTATGTACTCATAACTTCACATATCTTTCGTCACCTTTAATTCTGGTTTTGTGGTCAATAATTTTTTTCCACAATTTAATATAACATTGAAATATTCATATACTTTGTCGTCAACTAATTTGTCGGCATACCAACTGTAATGATCGAGTAAATATTTTAGTGCACGTTCATTGTAAGATAATTTGGACATTATATAGGCTAGATCACGCCACAAACGTGGATCATTACTAAAAAAGATAAAATTAGATGATAGAAAAGAGATGAACCGTTTGAATATTTACAATAACAAAAAAAAAACTGTAAAAATATGAATAATTTACTCTGCATTATGAAAACGTTGACATAATTTTTCTGATAAACTTTCTGTATGACGTTCTTTATGTATAAATTTAAATAAAAATTCCATTATTCGTTCAAAATCTTCTTCACTTAAATTTCTATTTTCACCACCACCACCAACTAAATTACCCAAAATATCTGGTAATATATTAAACAAAGCATCACCATGTTGTCGTTTAGATAATTCCATAAAAAATGAAATAGCTAATGATGCTATTTGTGAATGTTCATCAATAATACACATGGCTATTTCACTTATTTGACCTTTTGGCTACAGAAGAACCAAGAAAAATAAAAATATATGAAATTTATACACACAGCGAGAGAATCTCCATTTCAAAATGACTATTTACTTTAACCATTTCTTTTAATATTAAATTGGATATTGTTTTCAATGCTGCCAGACGAACATTAACCGATCGATCTCGTAAGCATCCATAAACATCACTGGAATAGGAAGCAAGTGCTAATGGATATCTAAAAACGCCGAAAACATTTAAAATATTTATATGTAAATGTTAATATTAATGTACATACTTTAAATAAAAATCATTCATAAGAACAACAATGGTAACACGAACATTTTCATGTGATGAATTTTTTAACAAATGGAATATGGTATGTAGTTGTCTGTCACATAAATCGACTGATAATAACATATATTTACATAAACAGATAATTGCACTTAACTGCAATAATTCATCATTATAAACATTTTGATGACTAATTATCTAAACAAAAACAAAAATATATTATCAATTGTAATAATATCGACAGTTAAATTCAATTTTGCATGAATATCACTGTTTAGATTAATTAAGAACTCTTACATGTAATATTAATTCAACATATTGCATTAATAATGAATTTTTTTCACATATTGTTTGTATATGACTTGTAATTTCATTTTCAACTGGATCTTCAGCTTCAGCACCTCCAAATACTTGATCCATTTCAGTATCTACTTCATCTACTATATTTTGTTTTGATGCAATAGAAGTTAACTAGAAAATAAAATAAACAATAAAAAATAGTTTAAAATTATTTATAAATTTTACACTCACCATTGATATGTTCAATGTCTCATTCATAGATGCCTCATCACCATCCATATCACGTGTTCGTTTATTTTTTCCACGTTTTGTTTTTGTTTTTATTGATTGTTGTTTTTGTTTTTCATTTGTTTTACCACTTTCTTTTAAATCTTTTCGTCTTAATAATTCTTCTTTCATTGTACAATCAATATAGTAGAGAATACCAATCGCCACTTTACCCAAACAATTAAAAAAACGTGTGAGTATTAACGATGAAATATCAGTCAGAATTGTTCGCTGTGATGGATTTGATTGATGATCGGGTTCTAATATTGGATCGTTAAAATCATCCATTACATGAGCTAAAAACAAACATGTATATATAAATAATTTATTTTTATTAGCTAAAAATGTTTGGTCATTTTACATGGAACTTCATTTGTTGTTTGTGACTGCTGTTGATTTTGTTTTCCTAATTTTAATCCAGCTTTTGCCGCTAATTTTTTAACAATATTTTCAACATGTTTAATTGGATTATCAGCTAATTTAAATATTACATCAATGGCGGATTCTAACATTGGTGTCCATTTATCATTTGATGTTACATTAAAATCTACAAAATGAAAATATTTAATAATTAAAGCAATAAAATCGATTCAAGTTTAATAAACTTACTTTCGACAATAATTTTTGATAATAATTCAAATAAACGATGTGTCTTAGCTAAACGATAAGGTTTTGGACGTACACCATTTTCAGTCTAAAGAGAATAGTATATTTAAAAAACTAATTTCTTTGTATTTATTATGTTTTACCTTTCTACATGTACCAATCATTTGTAATAAAACGCATGATATATGAACAAAATTCAAGTTTTTTGCTTTCGTTACAAATGCAATTTCAATAATATCGTTCAGTTTGTTTGAAATTTGATTTCTACAAAACAAAAAACAGAAATATTTGTCCAATTTTCTACTTTATTATCCAAAAAATTCAATAGATTAGCAAGAAATATACTACGAAATATAACTGAAGATATTTCAAATATGATCAACAATAGCGTTTCGTTTAAGTTTAATCAAAATCGAAAATGTTGAAATACAAATATTACCCTGTTGATATAAACGATAATACTTTTCCCGAAATTACATCTGAATCATCATTTGACTGAAGTTGATAAAAACGCCATAAAGCTTTTAAAAATTCATCTGTTATTCCACTATTTGATTTCATTAATTGTTTTAATATTTCTTCAAAACATAATTCTTCAGCATAAGTGGCACCTTTCAGTGCACGAATGATATTTTTAGCTTGATATAATGGTACATGACTAAATAAAAAAAAAAATTAATTCATTTTTGTTTCAGAAAACATTTTCTTACTTACACTCGTTCAACTGTACCAATAATATCAAAGTAAACACGAATAAATGCTTGAATAATTGCATCTTTAATAGATGTTTCATTTGAATATATTAAACTAAACATATCACGTAAATTTTGTTCTAATTCTGGTATAGTTTGTCGATAATGTCGTAATGAAACAAAAAATTCAATTGCTTGTTTACAATCTTGAATTGTTGATGAACTGAATAAATTAACTATTTTACGATTGGCTTGACCAATATAATTTAAAAATATACTACTATCCTGAAACAAGAGTAAAAATATATTTTATTGTTAATAAGTGGCTAAGTATAAACATACTTTATAGATTGCAATTAACTCTTTTTTTTTATCAATTTCTTGTTGTATTTGTACACGTTCAAGATCTTCATGAATTGATTGATTAATTGCATTTTCTCCACTCTCTTTTTCAATTTTGACTTTTATATCGTCAACATCTTTCATTTCATATGATTGATTTTGACTTATATTATTACTGGTTCGACTATCATTTACAATATTATCATCATTTTCTTCATCCGATGAGAGAATAATAAATTCCGCATCTTCCTTCTTTTGATCATCATCGTCATCATCACGTCTCACTAACTTTTTGGTATCTTTTGATTTTTCATCAATTTCATTTTCATCAACATCATCATCATCAGATTTATCTTTTTCATTGACAATTTTTTGTAATTCTTCCAATTCTTTTTCTGTTTTTATACGTTGTTCTTCAAGATCGGCATGAGTTACATCCTGAGAACAAAAGATTCATTTTGTACAATAATCAACATGGTGAGCTATATACGAATGGTAATCAATTTTCATTTTCAAGTAGTCAGTGACAATATGAGATCTGCTGTGGTAATCACTCTTAGAATAAAATAACGAATTCGTACTATTTCTCTCCTTCAATGTGTACGTGTTACTTTTATACACTTGTCGTAACAATACTTACTATTCCAAAATATGGATTACTCAGTATAACATGCATAACTAACGTCACAGCTTCTTTTCTCACTGGACATGCTGCATCTCTTAGACGACATAAACCAAATTCAAATGCTTGAATTAATTGTTTAACGGGTACTTTTTTTCCTTGAATAAGTCCAGCCCATATTTGTAATGCATTTGTACGTACATAACTATTACTATCATAAACATGATCCTACAAGAGGAGAAATGCTTAGAAAAAATTCATTGCACTATCATTTACTTACTGATAAACAACGGAATAATTCATCACGAAGTTTTTTAGCTGAATCATCAAGACTATCGACCGGAACTAATTCTCTATCAATGACATGTGCGAATGCAATTAATACAGCAATTCGAATATGATGAACCTAAATAAAAAAAAACATATTGAGCATATTTTTTTGTAAATAACAAAATTTATCTCTTCTACTTGTTGGATACCTTGAAATAGGAACGACTCAAGATCTATTTTGAGATAAAAACTATTGACTACCCATTACTTACATCAACGGTCAATAAATCAAGAAGTAGATCGATATGTGTACGAATAATTTTCGGATCCAGTTCGGCTATTTGTGTAATAAATGTGGCCATTGATTTAAATGCAGAACTATCTGTTGATGCTTCGAAATTTGTTTCACATATTTCTCTATAGAAGAATAAAAAATATAAAAATAGAGAGCAGTAGAAGTTGGTTTTACAGATGTACTTGAGCAATTCGTTTGCCAGTCCTTTATCTTGATAATCTTTGATAAGTGCTTGCAATGCATTCAAAAGAAGACTATTATTATGTTCATATAAACGCATTGCTTGGATAAATTGTATACTGGCATCTAAAAGGATGCAAAACGATGTTATAGATAAGGGACTAGAAAGAATTATTTCCAAGCAAATTACGGATAAACGACTTTCTTTTTCACAACTGCTTCCAAAAACAAAATTAGCAGCATTTGTGCTTGAAATCTATAATCAGCAAAGACAAACAACCTCTTGCAAACAAACCTCTTGCATGACCAAATTTATCAACCATAATAGCGATAATTAATGGAAAATTTTCTTTGATAACAGCATTTTTATGAACATCTTGTTTTCGTAACAAGTTGTAACATGGTTTAGTAACGGTTCTTAGAAGAGAAACAAAATCAAGAACAATCTCATATTGTTGATTTATAAAGCTTAAAAAATATTCTCACTTAACAAATTGTTCGTCGATAATTGATGGTTCCCATAATGGTCTAATATGAGCACGTAGCACATCGCCAAGTGCTTTTAAACATTTATCACGTAATAATTCATTTGTAAAATTATCAGAACTTTGATCCCCTTTTTTTCCTTTCTTCACAAACACGAAAGAAAATAAAAAACAGTTTTTTTTTCAGTATAAAAAGTAAAAAGTAATTCTTTACCTTTTGTGTTTTCGGTATAAGTTCTTCTACTTTTTGAGAATTATCACTATCAGCACGTATAGTAAATTCAGCCAATAAACAACAAAGCATTTTAATTATATTTAAATGCAATCGACGTTCATCTCCAGTTAAACCAAGATGCAAACGACGTTGTACTTCAGCTGCTTCACTTATTGTTACTAGAAGTAAAAACAAAGAAATAATCAACTCAAATTGATAATATAAACTAATAAAACATACATCGAATGAGAGCATCGGCAGCTTGATGTCGACTAACAGATGGAACTTGACCATATTCACTATTACAAAAAGAAAATAGATTAATAAGTAAACAAAAACAATAATCAGCTTTTAACTTACATGGCAATACTATAGAACAACGGAAAATAATCTAAAATTTGATTTGGTTCACGAATACGTGCACAACCTACAGAAGAAAGATCATTAAGTACTAAATAATGTCTCAAAAGAAATTGAAATCAAACTTTGGAGTTGTGTATTAATTTCAGCTAAATCAAGTACATTTGGAACATAATATGATGCAGATGATATTTGATATTTAAGATCTTCAAATTTGTTAGGTATATCAAAGACACTCCATCGATTCGTTTCTGACTGTCTCGAGGACATCCTCGACGGTAATGTTTACTCGAAAAATCAATTTAAAAATGTTGAATAATTTGTTCTAAATAAATATAAAAAATGTAAACTATTTGAGCTCTTTTCCTTCTTCAAAACTATTACTATATAGAAAGACAAAAGTAATAATTAAGTGTAATTTCAGACGGAAAGGGGGAGTTTTCTTTCCTGAATTAACAAATCTGACTAGTAAGAAAATATATTGTCGTCGTATATCGTCTCTATATATGCATCATTGGGCTGTCCTCTATCCTCAGTCAATTCATGTTAAGATGTAACGGGTCAGCCTCCTTCGACTCATAATGATACTGATTTTTTCAACATTTCTACTATTAAATAAAGTATATAACAAGAAAAGTCGGATCATAGCAAGTTAGGAAAGTTAATAAATTTTTTTCTCTACAAGCGTAGATCGCCGGAATTCTTTATAATAAAACCTTCGCTCCTCTTCTAGTCATGTGACAATCATTTGATTGAACTGTTCGACAGAACTCGAAGCAATCTATTCAGGAATAGCACACTAACACGACTTTCTCGTCACTGATTCATTTCATCATCAAGAGTTTAGAGTTCAAGACGATCAAAGAGAGTCAATCTATATTGAAGCAGCCAACGGTACGATCTAGAGAGGCTTTCCAAAAAACTATTTCATTTTTTATCTTCACGTGCATCGCATACTCTTAAGCTTCGATAAATTCTGACGATTGAACGAATTACAATGCAATGAGGAAGAGCGTGATACAAAGCATTGCGATAGAATTGTATTCCTAATTGCTGATGCGGAACGATTTGATTTAATTGTTTCAGTTGACTTTAACATAGAATTTATTCACTCTTTCCTATTGGTTACTGAGCTCTTTGTTCGCCAAAAAATTCAGTATGACAATCTTTCTAGTAATTTAAAAAAATTCTGTTCTTTAGTTGAATCTAATGATTTACCATAGCATTTCGTAAGACTACAGAATAATGCACGAAATTATCTAGAGGGCGCTCTTTTCTGTCTGTATCCTGTGTCCTCATGTGGTCTCTTCGTAATACATGTCACTCTCATCTAACATCGAAGAGTTTAAAATAATTTTCGAAAAGTTGAAACTCATATCACCGATAAAAAATTTAAGTTCATTTAGAGTTAAAGAAAAGTGCTTGTTCGTATTCAGTACACTTGATAACCTGGAAAATTTTCTATTTTTAGCGAGGGGTACCGCCAAAAATACTTTTTGGCGGTACCCCTCGCTAAAAATAGAAAATTTTCCTTTTGCTATAACATCCAATTTGCTATAAACATTTGATTGACAGATAGATTTATAAACTGTTTTCTGTTTAATATCTAACGAACAAAAATAAAACGTTTAGCTAAAATGATTTTGATGATTTTTTATAAAGTTTTTGGAGTGGAACCAAAGACAAACTGCTGTAGAAGTATTAAGAGTATCCATGTTCAAAAAATTGTCCCGTACGAGGTAAGCGACTATTAGAGAATCGGAATATACAGTTCGTTTCAACTGAATAACGTTCAAAACCTCTTGATGAGATTGCTCTATTAGACGGAAATGCGCGAGTAAGAAATTTGCCTCAGTTTGAGATTTAAAATTTTTTTTTTCCGGTAGTTGTTTCTGGCTATTGATTAAATATAAAATATATATATGCATGCGCTGAATTGTTGAACAATCGAAAATCAAGGGGATTATTTTTCCTTCGCATTGCATGTCGTGTGTTCTCATGCAATTTTTTAGTGTTCATTATAAAAAGAAACTGACTCCCTTTTGTCATTTTCAATAATATAAAATTATATAGTATACTTTGTTGATTATTCCTACTCATTTATCATCTATCGAAAAACGGATGTTGTTTTCCTGTCAAATATGTCCTTTCGTTTTTTTCTTTATGTCTCTTTATCTTAACCATATTCTATAATCAGTCTCAACAAAATCAACTCATGATTCGTGCAACTTGCAATTATATTTATGAACCTATATAATAATCAGATATAAGAAAAACACATATTGCTGAGAAAAAATTGTGGTATATTATACACATGATGTTCAAGACTGATATTTCTTTTTGTCAATCGTAACATCAACAGCGTTTAACTAATTTCAAACAACCATTTACTACACTGTTTCCATTACGTTCCGGTAAAATGAAAAATACTATACACATAGCTAAATATGCAACATTTATAATAAGTAAGTCCGATTAATGTACAAAGCTTAAAATATCAATTCTTTTTTCTGAACTTTTCACATATTTTATGGAATTCGGCTACCTAAGCTAAGGCGGACAGAACATTTCTGGTAAGTTTATATTTATCATTAAGGAAACGCTTTAGAACCATTGTTTTCACTACTGAAAATCGATTTTACAGTCTCTGGGTTTGTTCGTATAAAATATAATATGTTTAGAATATTTCCGGATTCTCTCGGTCTTGGACTAAAATTTGATATTATTTTCAATATAATACACCCATAATACGCCATCTTCCTGATCGATTTTTTTAGTTGTTTTCTGGTGTTCAGTTCATCAATGTTTGTGCAATAGTGATGAAAATTACTATAACCTACAACAACAGCTGCCATTGCAACATTCATCACAGTATAACAATAAAATGTTTGATAATGATGATGGATTTATATTTCATTCGTCTCAACTATTTGGTAAAAATTCTCTATTGTTACCACCAACAACGATTGATCAGTCCGCATCGTTACCGTTTGATTTATATCGGCAAGGATTATTAAGATATCATCCAATATTTAAAAAAGCGAGTTTAAGACCAATGATACCACAAAATGCAAAATATTCACCAGGAAAACGTGCTAGTTTGAGACCCATTATATCACCATTCTGACTATATACACAAGCGTACGAGTAAAATATAGTTAAATAATTAGAAAGAAAATAAAAACAAACATTAAATATAAAAATAATAAACATCAAACAATGTGATCTCTTTAAAAATTCAAATGAACTGTTTGTAATACATTATCTCTTTTTCTCAAATTATACTATAAGTTAAAAAATCAATGCATCTCCTTGTGGTGTTAAAGAAAATAAAGATTGATTTGTTTAGCTATTTAAAAAACATAGAAATAAAGATGTGTTCATTCGTTAGATACAATTCAATTTCCATGTAGTTTAGACTAGAACGCACATTAATTACATAACATTAATACAGGCGCTTTTGAAAATCTAACCGAATAGTTTTTAATCACATAATAGTATGAGATTAATAAGATTGATTGAATATATTTATGCTGTTGGATTTAGCATTGTTAAACTGATTGCAGATTCGTCTTCTCCATAGTCGATTATCTTGTACGCGCGATAACTTTTGGATCGAAATACTTCAGAAAAACTTGTCAATACCGTTTTGACTCTCGTGAGAGCAATTTTCATAAGCAAATTTTTTTCTGAAGTACTCCGATCCAAAAATTATCGTGTACAAGATAATCGATTATGGAGATGCCGAATTTGCAATCGCTTTTGATCGAAGAAGTTTTTAAAATTTTTTGATTTGGTGGTATGTTGCTATCTGTTAATGCGGTGGATATCACTAACATATAAATAATTATTGTCGTAAAAATTTGTAAAATATCGAATGAGATTATTGTATAATAAAAGACTTCTGAATAGATATTTTTTTTGATTAACTTACTAAAATATGACTATGAAAAGCTTAATTGAGTGTTGTAATTAAGCAAATAGTTTTTAGCAGAAAGTCGATGGATATATTCAATACAATAATGAGTCTAAACCATTGAATATATTATGAAAAAAATATCGTCTAATTAAACACTTACATTTGCATGTTATAAGCTTAGTAGCACAGAAACTACAATAATATAAATCATACACCATGAATGGCATGCGAAATGACATTTATCTGCTTCTTCAACTAGCAATAACATACCACATTAAAAACATCTAATCTTAATGCAAACCTACCATATACTTGAAAACTTGAATCTATAGTAGAACAAGTTGGCATATGTAGTTGTAATATAGATGACAGCATTCAATACGATCTTGAACATTTGAATGTTAACGTTCTTTTTCGAGATAATGATTAAATTTATCAGATTCAGTTCGAATCAAATTTACAAAGGATAGTAAAAAATGACGGTGAGAATATCTAAGCGGTACTAGTATAAAAAGGCAAAGTACGGATACACAGTTTACATGTTATATTTTCTAAAACTGAGTGAACACGATGAACATGGTGAAAAATGTAATAGAAAAAGATGCATATTAAATGAGGTGAATAGTATAATCCATATGACTAAACACATTACATGCAATTAATAAAAGACACAGATAGATAATAGAATAAATTTTGATTTTAAGTTTACATGTTAAACATTGTTGATATTTAAATAATACACACAAATTATAAATGGTAAATATTTTTTTGAAAATTGATTGAATTAAAGAAATTTATGAGAAATATTGTTTGAGTATACATGCGCACAATAATAATTAAAATTAGACGATAATAGACATTAACTATCTGAGAAAATCTTTTCAGTAAGTAACGATAATAAATATCGATATATTATTTTAATGCATATAATCCTAATAGAAAACAAACGATGATACAATAAATGTAATGAAAACTTTTTTATCTGTCTTATGTCTGTTGCGTGATAGACTCTTCTAATTTCATTACACACAATAGTGATTTAAATAATGAATCAACGTTAATATCATTATTCATTTAACATGGAAAGTTTTCCTCTGAAATTTGAATATTATTATTTAATTGAGATTCCATTTGTAAAACACTTCTCATTGAATTCAAAAATTACTATTTAATAAGCGCCTATGAATTGATTTTGGATTAAGATCGATATTTTATTGAGAACAACGACAATATTTATTTATTTATAAAAGGGAGAAGAATAGGATCTAAAATTAAACAATAATTACAAGAAATTTATTGTTTCTATTCTACCATGTCATAATGTTAATATGACGAGTTTTCAGAAGAAATAGAATGGTATTAGTATTAATCTCTAGACTTTTAATTAGTCAATTAATGTAGAAATGATGATGTTAGACAAGAAAAGTTGCCTACAGCATCCGTTGAATCGTAACTTATAAAACTGTTAATGCGCTGGAAGTTTTTTCTTCTTTTGTTAACATCACCATGCATAAAAGCTGGTAAATAATGCATACAAATAAGAATATATGTACTCTTAGCATCGAAAACTTGAATTTACATTTGTAATAACGACATCCATCATAGTTAGTAATAAAATCACAACAATTGTGATATTCTAAAGGAAGAGGAAGACGATGAAATATTATAATTTATCATTTTCGTATTCTTTATTGATTATAACAAAAAAATAACTATGAAATGAGTTTTACAACAGTAATGTTATCAGCATCAGCAATCAAAATTATTCCTAATGAGACAGTATTAAATATGCTTAATTCAATATTAGACAGAATAATGATGCCATTTTAAACTTAAAGTAAAGTAGAAGTGAACATATTCTTCCTCAATTTTATTTAGCATTATCTAGATATATCGATATAGAAATCAATATGGTTTTGTACATCGTTTTATACTCAAACATAATTTGCATGCAAAAGTTAGATAAAATTAATTATTTTCTGATAGTCTAAAATTTAATAGAATTTTTTTTGCTTCTTAAATTTACAATATCATCCGTCATTCTATATAAAAATGATCTATCTTTTTCACTTATGATATTTAAGACAGAAAAAAAATTGCTTTTCTTTATATATTTGACATGCTTCCTCCGTTGTAATTGTGATGTTAACAGAAGTCTAAGACGTTTGTGAGATGTGACATCAAAACGAAAAATTCCATTTATAATGAGTGGAAATTGAAACGTATCAATGTGATTTTTACAAAAAGTAATTGGTTCACATCTCTTAATATTTAAATCAATTTGCCAAAAGGCAGATCATTTGAAAACTAACTCTGAATCTTCATTCAAAACAGATGTTATTTGTTGCAATGATGATCCGCTGATGTGTAAGAGTACATCATCAGCAAATAAATGAGCCATTGACTTACGATTTAAAACTATGTTATTAATAAACATGAGAAAGAGCAGGGATCTCAGAATGAATCCTTGGAAGTACTCTGCGATTAATTTTTTCGAGTGCTAGGAACTTTCCATTAACTCTGTTAACGACAGTTCTGCCAATTAAATATGAAGAAAATGATTTCAGCATTTTATCAGATGCTCCTTTTTCCATTTAATTTTAAAAATTAATATATTCATTCATCAAAAAGCAACATTTCTTTTTTACAGGAGATTGAATGAACGATCTACAACAAGAAAAATATGCGCGCTATGTCGTAATTTAAATTAATTTTTTTTAATGTGTTGTTAGATCTCATACTGAACAGTTGATGCTTATAGTGGAGAATTATTTTCAGAACAATCTAAACGATAAAAAAGTCAAATGATAAAATCTATAGTAATTTGAAGAGACTAGATTTTTACTTATATATCCCGATAAGAGAATTGGTAGAGTGACGTAGAACTGTTACAGTATGGGACCTTGCGGTCTGAGTTAGGTAGGGTCTAAGATCTATTCTACCTCATTTACATTATTTGCATTTGAAAATGTACAATTTCGATAAAAATAGAGATAATACACATTTCAATATTTTTTTCTTGACCACCTATACTAGTAAAAAACGAATATTTAAAAATATTTTAATAAAAATGATTAAATTGCTTTTTATTCGTAAATTTTTTATAAAAATAGCCAGACGTTTCAATTTATTAGTTAAATTTTCTTCAGTGGCAATAAAGATATGTTATAAGAAAACATAAAATTCAAACAAAAAACTTGTATATAGCAAAACGACTTTACACTT